ATGCATATTTTGTGTGGTATTACAAAAGTTTCAATAAATATCTTTTTTAAATATTTTCTCTTCAAGCCCATCATACACACATGCTACATTTTTCACATGTTTCAATGTGTAGGGTTTTAAACCTTCATGGTAAGGTATTCTTACTTAAGAAGTATACTGTGTTAGAAAAATTTATGGTTTTTAATTATTGGTTATTATTGTGTTTATTTTACATACATGTGTTTATATAACATAGTATATGTTATTTTTTTGATAATTTGATTGGAAATATTAGTTTTAGCACAACTTGCTTCATACCGTAATGTTATATCTGTATTGGCTTGCTGAACAATACTGGCCCAACATGAATTTACCTATGTTTACCCAAATTACCATTTTAGCATAAGTATACATCTTGCACCTAATAAGAGACCTAAACAATGTGTAAGGTTGAACAAAGAGTGGTCTAACATACTCATTGTTTAGGTTTCGGTGAACAAAGAGGTCGGTAAATTTTATTAGGAAAAAAAAAACTATTCCATGTAATGTAATAGAAACAAAATAAACCTCATCCTACCTAATATACATTACTGATGAGGAAGTCCAACCCCACCAGCGAGTGCAAGTAACCAAACGGGGCTCTGGCACATTTGTAAGTGCAAAGTCGAACTGCTTTCACATGTGTAGACATGTGGTGCGCTTACAGTAAAAAGCAGTCGCTAACTACCCACCATGCTTATCATGGCCTGTACCACGTGTACTAGGGACAAGCAAAAAAAAATAATGAGGATTAAAGATTTTGATTTGTGTTGAAAATTTTGCATGCATTTCTCTATTTCTGTTCTTATGGGTCATTTTGAAGTCCTTTTTTAAATTTTCTTATGGAGTTTTTTAATTATTGCTTTTATCTTTTAAATACAGTTTATTTATTATATTTTCTACATATATGGGTTGTATCTAAAAAATAGGTTATTTATATTTTTAAATAAGCGAGGGATTTCTTTAACGGATTCATTTATTTGTCTTTTGAGGTCCTTTTTCAAAATTTTATTAAAGATATTTTAATTTATTTGATTAAGTATTTTATATTTAGATTATTTATAGTTTTTTTTAACATATAGGGGTTGTATTTTTTATTTTAGAAAATTATTTCTATTTTTTCCTCAAAAAACATGCTTTTTCATTGCCGTGTCCTGCGGTTGGTCTATTTTTGAGGCTTTTTAATGATAACTGGTTTTGTACATTAATTTTTTAGTTTTAATATTATGCTTTTAGTTTTTTATAATCTTTTTAACATATCTGGAAGGTTATTTTGAAGAACAAATTTAAGAATTTTGATTTTTACCTCAAAAAGACAGGTAATTTTTATGCTTTGTTTATAAATTGCTGGTTTTTAAGCTTTTGTTATTAATCTCAATCTTTTTTTTCAGAATATGCCTCGCCGCAGCCGACCTTTAATTGGTAGGAATACAGCTGCTTCCAGGAGATATAGGAATGCTAGAGCTATTGAGACACCACTTTAAAGTGAGACGCGTCGTGCGCTTCGCCGTCTTAGGTATTCTGAAGCCCGCGTCGCAGCTACACAAACTATGCAAGTTCCTGTTCAGCGTATTCAGCTTTGGACTCTTAAGCCGTTTTCAGGTTTGGAGTATAATGCTCATATTGATTATAAAGCTGATTCATCTGTCGATATAGGCCAAATGTCTCGGGTATGCCAGTTTTGCTCTGCTTTGAGATTTAGAGATGAACCCTTTAGCCTCTGTTGTAAACAAGGTAGAGTTTCTCTACCTGCTATTGAGTTCCCTCCAGAACCTATTTTCTCTTTGCTCTCTGGCCTACATCCTCTATCGAAGTCCTTCTTGCTGCATATCATTAGATATAACTATATTCCAAATGACATCTTTTGGTGCTAGACAAGTTGTGGAGCTATTTCTTTCCTCATTTAGCAAAAAAATGTATTCATTACCTTTTATATTTTTTTCACTATGTTTCTAATGTCCTCTAATGTACATGGATTCTTTGCTCATATATGATTGTCCCTTTTAAAGCGCTAATAAGATCTGCAACTGTTGTAACTATGAATATGCATATTTTGTGTGGTATTACAAAAGTTTCAATAAATATCTTTTTTAAATATTTTCTCTTCAAGCCCATCATACACACATGCTACATTTTTCACATGTTTCGATGTGTAGGGTTTTAAACCTTCATGGTAAGGTATTCTTACTTAAGAAGTATACTGTGTTAGAAAAATTTATGGTTTTTCATTATTGGTTATTATTGTGTTTATTTTACATACATGTGTTTATATTACATAGTATATGTTATTTTTTTGATAATTTGATTGGAAATATTAGTTTTAGCACAACTTGCTTCATACCATAATGTTATATCTGTGTTGGCTTGCTGAACAATACTGGCCCAACATGAATTTACCTATGTTTACCCAAATTACCATTTTAGCATAAGTATACATCTTGCACCTAATAAGAGACCTAAACAATGTGTAAGGTTGAACAAAGAGTGGTCTAACATACTCATTGTTTAGGTTTCAGTGAACAAAGAGGTCAGTAAATTTTATTAGAAAAAAAAAACTATTCCATGTAATGTAATAGAAACAAAATAAACCTCATCCTACCTAATATACATTACTAATGAGGAAGAGGGGTCGGTGGAAGGCTGGTTAAACCGTTTGGTTTACGATCACTACGACCCGGGTTCGATCCCCGCATTGGACACTTTTTTCTGTTTAAAAAAAAAAATGCTCCAATGGCCCCCCGATTCTTGCAAAAGTCCAACCCCACCAGCGAGTGCAAGTAACCAAACGGGGCTCTGGCACATTTGTAAGTGCAAAGTTGAACTGCTTTCACATGTGTAGACATGTGGTGCGCTTACAGTAAAAAGCAGTCGCTAACTACCCACCATGCTTATCATGGCCTGTACCACGTGTACTAGGGATAAGCAAAAAAAATAAAAAAATAATGAGGATTAAAGATTTTGATTTGTGTTGAAAATTTTGCATGCATTTCTCTATTTCTGTTCTTATCTTGCAAAGCTAATGGATTGTTTAGGTTGCTTATTTTTGACTCGACAATTTGTTTAGTGATAAAGTGGTATAGCGTTCTTTTTCAGAGCATCACCCTACAAAAAAATTACCTGACCTTTCCTAATATTCAGATAGATTGATTATATCAACGTACTAGACTACAAACATTCCCTCGAGTAAAAACAATTATTTAAAAAAAAATCTTATCTAAATATATATCACTCGGGTAGATATGCACACGGGTCAATCCCGGGGCGAAGCCCGGGTCGGCGTCTAGTATATATATATAAATTAATGTCTGTCTGTGTGTACTCTATAGATTCAAAAACCATACATCCAATCGCCGTGAAATTTTGGGATATTATTAGGTATATCCCCGGGAAGGTTTTTGAAAATAATTTTTTGAATATCTTGAATATCCTTAGAGTTATTTGCAGATTTGTAGATTTAACTCGCAAGCAGCGCCCCCATTGCGACAATGATAACAAGTTTTTTATCTATAAGTTTTATTATCACTAAGTTTATTATCTTAAAGATTATTTATCAAAAGTAAGATTTTCTACCTATTAATTGCGCGCAAGTCAAAGTTAGTTTTATCATTTATCTACAACATATATATTGGGAGAATAGATAAAATGATGATTTTGTAATGTAGAATATTAGGAAAGACAAAATTCAGGATGACACGGCAATTTATTTGAGAAAAGAATAATGATACAATTCCAAGGCGAATATACTATTCCTTTAACTTCCCATTACCGAGGGAACCAATTAATATTGATTTTATTCAACTTATCGAGTATTTTTCAAGGGACCGGGAAAAAATGTTCACTTTATCGAGAGATTCAAATTTACGAGTTTCAAATTATCAAAATATATCTATTATTTTTTAATAAGTTTATAGAGAATTGTTTTAACAAATGTTCGTTAGACAAAACTTTACTCGGGTAGAACCCGGGCGTAGCCGGGTACATCCGCTAGTAATATATATAAATATCATATCAAAGCATTTATTAGAGTGAAAAATGATATATTCATTTCAAATTTCAAAGGCTTTTTCTTTTCTATCATTAATGTCAATTGATATCCTATTTAAATCACGAATTGTAGTGTCCTATTATTTAAAACTATTTCAAGAAAAGTCAACTCTCTCTTTAAAATAAGCTTTCAACTAAGCGCCATATATTGACCATCTACCCAAAATTGCGGATTTGTTTTCGGAAAATGTCTACAACAGAATATTATGGAGATTGAAATTGCAACTAATGAACTCTATTGAAAATATTCCTCCAGATATTCTCCTTCTCCAAAAGCCATATGTATTAAATAGAAAGGTCATGTTTGACATTGACTCGAACATAGTATATTGTTCCACATACAAAAATATTTCACAACTAAAAAATATTTCCAAATTAAAAAAGGTGCCGTGACCAGGATTCGAACCTGGGTTATTGCGGCCACAACGCAATGTCCTAACCGCTAGACGATCACGGCAGGTGACAACTGGACACTTACAGGACTACTTGAGGGAAATAATATGGTCACGTGATACAAAGTGGCTAATTGTACATCGCTTTCTTTTAGTTTATTTTAGAGAAAAACAATCACACTTCCAAACCTATTTTAAATAGTTTTTCTCTCAATGTTTATTTCCGTGGGTACACACAAGGAAACAATTGACTTACAATGGTCATAGTGAAGGTTGGAAATACAACGATTGCTGAAATGTCTATTGACGTCACGTGACCTCTTTCCATCCCAGGTGTCCAGTTATCACCAACCATGATCAGTACTTTGATATTTCATATCTTCAGGATATTGTATTTGAATTGGCTGGAAGCAAATTACATCTTGTTCTATATACTTTTTTTTTCAATTTTGGCAATTGCGGGATATACTATGTTAAGGACATTATATACTCTCCCGAATTCAATTATTCAATCACAAATTTAAAAAATCTCCCAATTATAAAAAGGTGCGTGACCAGGATTCGAACCTGGGTTATTGTGGCCACAACACATTGTCCGAACCACTAGGCGATCACGGCAGGTGACAACTGGACACTTACAGGCCTACTTGAGGTGAGGAATAAGTTCACGTGATACAGAATGGTCATTTGTACATCGCTGTCTTGTAGTTCATTCTTACAGAAAATATTGCACTTTTTTACAGCTTTTAAATATTTATTTTATCTCACTGTTTATTTCCGTGCGAATACACGGGAAACAATTTACTTACAGTAAAAATAATGAAGATTTTGAATAGCAGGAAGCAAGGAGAATCACCGCAAAGTCTCTCTACACCACGTGACATTGTTCCTCCCCTCAAGTACCCTTATGAGTGTCCATTTGTCACCTGCCGTGATCGTCTAGTGGTTAGGAGATTGCGTTGTGGCCGCAATAACCCAGGTTCATATCCTGGTCAAGGCACCTTTTTATCATTTGTAGATTTTTTCTTTGTGATTGAAGATTTGACTTCGGAAAAGTATATAATGTTAACAAAACAGTATATCCCGCAATTGCCAAAATTAAATAAAAGAGTATAATATTTAAGATGTAATTCGCTGCCTGCCAATTGAAATACAAAATTCTAAAGATATTCTTTATCAAAGTACCATAAGATAACACACAACTGCATATATTTTTTCTTCATAAGTATTTTTAAATTGTAATGTAAAAAGACTCTACTTTGTGAAGGTGTTTTATTTTAAACGAGGAAGAAGAATATTTTTTAATTGGTGATGGGTGTAGAATATATGTTATATTCTATCCCGTGCGATCGACCAAGTTGTAGAGATTAAGTATAAATTAAAAGATAGAAAAAAACTAATTTATAAATTTTAGCTACAATGTGGAATATCCTTATAAACACTAATCTATATTTCAAACGATCACTTGAAACAAATCATATAGTCAATTTCAATAAACATTTACCAATAATAGCCTGAAAAAATTGAACACTGTTGAAAACTTTCACTTTTAAATAGAATTATGAGAAAACAACGATTCATCCATTTAATATTTTAAAATTTGGTTTTTCCTATCAGGAACGTTTCATTGAATACATCTTTCAATTACGATAATTCATATCTATAAAAAGAAAGACCATCTTGCTATTCAAAATCAACCCTTAAATAAGCGCCATATATTTATAAACTGTCTACCCAAACTAGCGGACTCGGATTCGTAAAGGCATACAACAGAATATTAATAAAAGTCAATTGAAAAAACCCTGTACGATTTATAAGTAAACTAGCGGACGTACCCGGCTTCGCCCGAGGTTTTACCCGAGTAAAGGTTTGTCTAACGAACATTTTTTAAAACAATTCTCTATAAACTTATAAAAAAAAGATATATATTTTGATAATTTGAAACTCGTAAATGTGAATCTCTCGATAAAGTGAACATTTTTTCCCGGTCCCTGTGTGCCGTGTCATCCTGAATTTTGTCTTTCATAATTTTCTACATTACAAAATCATCGTTTTATCTAGTGAACATATTTTCCCGGTCCCTTGATAAATACTCGATAAGTTGAATAAAATCATGGTCGTGAATCTCTCGATAAAGTGATCATTTTTTCCCGGTCCCTGTGTGCCGTGTCATCCCGAATTTTGTATTTCCTCGATAAAGTGAACATTTTTTACCGTTCCCTGTGAGCCGTGTCATCGTGAATTTTGTCTTTCCTAATTCTATACATTACAAAATCATTGACACGGGATATCATTTAATGTTGTCTAAAGGGGGTTAAGAGAGCAGTCTCTTTCAAATGAAAAATGCTTTAATTAAGCAGATGTTTTAAGTATAATATATGAGAGAGGCAATCTTACAGGTTGTCGACGCTGTAAAATCCCCAGAGAGAGTGTTTTTGTAGCATCATGCTGTGACTCACACGATGACCCAAGGTCATCAGAAGCAGCAAACTAAGCCTATCTCCGTCTCAATGGCGGCGCTGCTTTGCGAGTTAAATATACAAATCTGCAAATAACTCTAAGGATATTCAAGATATTCAAGAAATTATTTTTCGTAAACCTTTCCGGGGATACACCTAATAATATCCCAAATTTTCACGGCGATTGGATGTATGGTTTTTGAATCCATAGAGGACACACACACACACAGACAGACAGACAGACAGACAGACAGACATTCATTTTTATATATATATAGATAAAACAAAGCATCAAGGGCTGCGTTTCTTTATTAAAATAAATATATACGAGCTTTCGGGCACATACGCCCTTCTACAGGAATTAATAAAACAGTAATCCAACTAGTTTGAAATAAGATTTGTTTATAAATTTAACGTGCATATCCACGATACACGTGCATTTCAACTTGCAAGGTATCCCATCAGACATGTGATATCTTATACTGTGATTGAATTATTTTTATCTTATTTTATTTAAGTCAATTGAATTATATGCTTCTGGTAAATCAATTCTGCGATTTATACTGCTATATTGTTTGGACACTATTGCTTCAATTATTAATCTTTGAAATTTATTATTAATATTGTTATAATGTACTTTAGGTTCATTTAAGTTAAATGTGTGTCCTGTTGAATTGGAGTGTTGTACTATTAATGATAATGGGTCATTTCTGTTTATGTTTCTTCTGTGTTCAATGATTCTATTATGCAATTTTCTTCCCGTTTCTCCTACATATTTGGCATTACAATTATTACATTCTATAGAATAAATTACCTCTTTTCTGCTTGATATATATTCGGTTTGCCTGTTTTTGTAATCGGGTTTCTTAAGATATCTGATAAGTTGGGAGAGTTGCTATAAAAGGTTTTTATTCCATATTTATCTAGTGTTCTAGAAATGTGGATGGATTTCGGGGAATATGGGATGTAGCAATTCTGCCTGTATATTTTAGTTTTTTGTGCTGACATGTTAGATGTGACCTGTGCCTGAAAGAAATGTTTCAAAATAAATGTTTTGGGATAACCAGCTGATGTCAAATTATTGATAACGGTTTGCGTTTCTTGCGTTTTGTATTGATTTAAAGAACAATGAGTATAAATTCTTTTAGTTAATGTTTTCACTGTGTTAATTTTATGACTAATGGGGCAGAATGAATAAAATTTTATATAATTGGGGGCGAATGAAGGTTTGTAGTAAACTGTTGTTTGCAATCTATTATCTATTTTAATTATTTTAATATCTAAAAATGGCAATGTGCAATTATCTTCTTTTTCTATTGTGAAACGTAAGCTATTGTTATAATTGTTGAGTGAGGCTAAGATGTTGGGAATCTGTTTTTCTGTACAAATGCAAAATATATCATCTATATATCATCTGTATAATATGATGTCTGCTGGATATGATGATGTGATCCAATTGTCTATTTCTCTCATAACTATTTCGGCTAATGGACATTTCACATAATTTGACATCAGCTGGTTATCCCAAAACATTTATTTTGAAACATTTCTTTCAGGCACAGGTCACATCTAACATGTCAGCACAAAAAACTAAAATATACAGGCAGAATTGCTACATCCCATATTCCCCGAAATCCATCCACATTTCTAGAACACTAGATAAATATGGAATAAAAACCTTTTATAGCAACTCTCCCAACTTATCAGATATCTTAAGAAACCCGATTACAAAAAACAGGCAAACCGAATATATATCAAGCAGAAAAGAGGTAATTTATTCTATAGAATGTAATAATTGTAATGCCAAATATGTAGGAGAAACGGGAAGAAAATTGCATAATAGAATCATTGAACACAGAAGAAACATAAACAGAAATGACCCATTATCATTAATAGTACAACACTCCAATTCAACAGGACACACATTTAACTTAAATGAACCTAAAGTACATTATAACAATATTAATAATAAATTTCAAAGATTAATAATTGAAGCAATAGTGTCCAAACAATATAGCAGTATAAATCGCAGAATTGATTTACCAGAAGCATATAATTCAATTGACTTAAATAAAATAAGATAAAAATAATTCAATCACAGTATAAGATATCACATGTCTGATGGGATACCTTGCAAGTTGAAATGCACGTGTATCGTGGATATGCACGTTAAATTTATAAACAAATCTTATTTCAAACTAGTTGGATTACTGTTTTATTAATTCCTGTAGAAGGGCGTATGTGCCCGAAAGCTCGTATATATTTATTTTAATAAAGAAACGCAGCCCTTGATGCTTTGTTTTATTTACTTATTAATAAAAGTGTAAATGCAACTAAAAAACTCAGAAGTTCTATTTGAAATAATCCTCCAGATATTATCATATTACCGAATTAAAAAAAGGTGCTGTTACCAGGATTCGAACCTGTGTTTTTGCGGCCACAACGCAATGTCCTAACCACTAGACGATCACGGCAGGTGAGGGGAGGAATATGGTCACGTGATACAGAATCGTAATTTGTTCATTACTGTCTTGTGATTCATTCTTACAGAAAATAATGCAATTTTTAACAGTTCATAAATCATTCTTTTCTCTCTCAATGTTTATTACCATGGACACTGTTACCATTACACTGGACATTGTGAAGTTTGAAATAGAAGGCTTGCTGCAATGTCGCTCTACATCACGTGTCCATATTCCATACCTCAACTAGTCCTGTAGTGTCCAGTGGTCAACTGCCGTGATCATCTAGTGGTTAGGACATTCCGTTTTGGCTGCAATAACCCAGGTTCGAATCCTGGTCACGGCGCCTTTTTAATTTATTTTTTTATTAATTTTTAAGTCAAAATGTAAAGATTCAATTTTTTTTTGTAGTGCTGTCATTCAGATGATAGACTGAAACTAATTTATAAATCTAAACTACAATAATGAATATCCATAGAGAACAATCTATATTCCAAATGGTAACTTCAAACAAATCAAATGGTCAATTTCAATGAACATTGACCGATAATATCTAGTCAAAAATGGACACTATGAAAAATAATACTGTTACGTAAAAACGAAAAATGGCGCATTCCAGAAGAGAATGTTTTCGAACGTTCTAGAAAAATGTAGAAAAATCGGAGAACAACGGATTGGCCAATCAGTAACGATTGCGCAATGCTCAAGCCTGGCGGCTTTGTGATTGGCTAACCAACCATGACTGTTCTGGAAAGATCTACTCCGGTATATATAGGGATGAGGAACTCATGCAAGGGGTCGAAAAACGAAGCTACGTGGTGTACTCCAAGCAAGCTGCTGTCTCAAGAGGTCGGACTGCTGCTTTACCGCCGACGCCGGTGTACTTCTTGGAAGATTCTAGAAGGTTCTACGAACTTCTGTTCCTGTTCTGCTCCTGCTTTCCCTCACCGTGCTGCAGTTGGTGAGTTTGTAACTGCTGTTTTTTATTGTTGTTTTATTTTTGCACTCTTCAGTAATTATTTTATCGATTAGGTTTAAATAAAGTCCTAAAGATCCTTTGTACCCACGGAAGTTATTCTTTGTCAACCAACAACGCAACAATACTTTTAAAGAGAGGTATTTTAGAGAAGAGCAGGCGCCTAAAACAGAAACCATACATCTAAACCTGGTAAATTGAATTGGTGACCCCCCTTAGGGGTTAACACTTATGAATAAGACCATCCCAAATATCATCATTGCAGTAAGAGAGGACAGTAAGAATTATTGTCATAGATGTTTATAAAACATCGATCATGTGTAATGTTAACTCTCACATACATTTTTTTACAACCTATATAGAGTGAACAACGATACATTCATTTAATATTTCAAGGGTTCTCTCTCTCTTCAATAAGACTCATTGAAATATAGAGAGATAATTTAAGAATATATAAATATATTTATTATTCATGATTTGAATCTAAATCGACAAAATTCTATAACAAGAAAGGCCACTTCTCCTATCAAAATTAACCCATTACTGAGAGCCATCTATTGACCATCATCTTGTACAAATTAATGGACTCAGATCAGTGACAAAGCTGGTGCTGTTGCTTTGTCACCAGCGACCATAGTTCGCCATTTTGCAAAGACGTTCATTGCCTTTAATAAATTTTGGGAAAAACTTTAAATATATAGTAGTATTAGTTATTTTATCTCATTTGAAAAAGTTGATATATATGAATCTTAACACAATCTGAATATCGAAATGATAAAAATTAATCATAGTCATGAAATATCTAAAGGTGACCCGATTGAGTGAAGGGTGTATTGCATCGCTCCGGAATTCTGGCAAATATAGACTTCTACTTGTTTTTTTTTTAAATTTATCTTTGAATATCTAAATTATCTTCAAATTTCGCGGTCACAAATGTATGTAAATATTACGCTTTTATAATGGATATGCTAAAACACGACTACTTATTCAAACTAAATATGCATATAATGGCTTCCACAGTGTAGCCATAAATTCTGTTACAAACAATTTTATAAAATTAATGATTAAGAACAAAAACTATTGGAATATAAATACATATTTTATTAGCCAATAGGACATCGATTTTAAATATATACAATCATTCAAAATATCCTCTCTTATTTTTGACACAGGATCTCAAACGTTCGGGCCACTGATCTACGGCGGCACGCACCTTTTCTAAGGGTATTTTTTCATTGCTCTCACCAATGCTGATTTCAATTGATCCAAATGATGATATCTTTTAGAGCACACCTTCTCCTCTAAATATGCCCACAAACTGTAATCAAGGGGGTTTAAATCAGGGCCTCCAGAGGGCCATTCATTGGCCTTTATGAACTCCGGGACATTCGTCTCCAACCATTGTTGAGTTGACTTAGCTTTGTGAGCAGGAGATGAATCTTGTTGAAATATCCAATGTTCTCCATTAAACATTTTGTATTCAGAGGCTTTGCTATTTGTTCCAAAATATCTTCTTGATAGTTTTTAGCTGTATCTTTTACCCCTTTGGCACAGAAGTGGAGATCTGTTATACCTTGGTAGCTAACTCCTCACCAAACCATGACAGAAGAAGTATGATGGCTTTTTTCAAGTTTTCTGACTTTCAAAGAAGCTTCTAGAGTTCTACGAGCATATATCCCATCATTCTGACGATTAATCCTTTCCTCGACAGTGAAATCTTTCTCGTCTTTGAAAAGGATTCTTTCATGCCACCGACCATCATGCCGCGCCAACAGCATTTTTGATCTAACCCTTCTAATATCTCTAAGAGCAGGGGTTATCAAATGACCCATGCGCCGTTTGAAAGCTCTCAGTCCAAGGTCTTCGTTAATTATCCTGGAAACGGTTCTTGGAGCTAAATTCATCTGCTTCGCTAAGATCTTTTGTTTGCGGCGTGGATTTCGGCGAATTCTTTCGCGAATGGCTTTTATAGCTGCTTGCGTTCGTTGCACGCGCGGTCGACCAGATCTTTGAAGGTCATTAATAGTGCCAGCCTTGTTGAACCTTTCAATGGTTCGATAAACAAATTGACGCGTAATATTCAAAAATTTTGTAAAAGTTTAGAAATTGATGAAGGACTTTGACCTACCTTGTGTAAGGCTATTACAGCTATACGGTTTTCTTAACACCCCAATCCATTATCAAAAACAAATATAGTTGTATTCCGATTTTTTTTCTAAACACGTGTGCACGAGATATTCAAATAACAACTACTGTATTTTGGATACTTCACGCGGTCAAATTAAAATTTTATCATTCATTTGGTTTTGTAACAATATTTATGACTAGACTAAGTATATTATATAAATATATAATTTAATCATATGCAAATTTCTAAGCAATCAAAAAAAAGTTTAAAATGTCTTATACTCTCTATCAACAATGATTAATTAAGAGTAAAAAAGGAGTTATTCTCTTTCTGATATGAATAAAGATTCCACAATATATTCACTTGTATCTTACAGTACTTTGATAAAGCAAATCTTTATAATATTGTATTTCAATTGGCTGTCAACGAATTACATCTTAAATATTATAAACTTCTTTTAATTTTGGCAATTGCAGAATATACTGTGTTGTTGACATTTTACACTTCCCCAAGTCAATGCCTCAATCACAGCTAAAAAATAATCTACAAATAATTAAAAGCTGCCGTGACCAGGATTCGAACCTGGGTTATTGCGGCCACAACACAATGTCTCAACCACTAGACGATCACGGCAGATGACAACTGGACACTTACAGGACTACTTGAGGGAAGGAATATAGTCACGTGATACAGAATGGCCGTTTGTACATCGCTGTCTTGTAGGTCATTCTCACAGAAAAATATTCCACTTATTTATAGGTTTCAATTCATTTGGAGAAATAGAAACTCTTGCCACAGGTCACATAGAATTTCAAGCCTTCAAAAATTTAGGACTTACACCAGAACCCCTGCAATTATTCAATATCTACCATCCTCCTGACAAACCTGGCACACAACTCCAATTATTGACACATTTTCTTACATTAAATACAGTTTTTCTGGGTGACCTCAACAGCAAACACCCCACCAGGGGATGCAGAGAAACATATGCAGGGGGAATATCACTCAGCAACTTCTTAGATGACAATAACCTATTAGCCATCTCAACAGGTCAAACTTACGTCTCCAATTCTTATGGCACCACGGACACTCTAGATCTATTAATTACAATCCCCATCATGGCTAGGACAACAATCACCAGGATCTCAAGCAGTGTTGGCAGTAATCATCTACCAATCTGTTAAAAATAGATAATTTATAATTGTATGCTTTATAGATTTTCCCCTATTATTATTATGTATATATATTTTTATTTTATTTTTGTTGCCTCTTTCTCTTAATGGGTGGAAAGGAATAAAGAATGGAAGGAGCAAAAGTTGTAAACAAACAAGACATCGCCCCCCATCCCATGCGCGAGCACCTATGCGCGGTGACGGGGAGAAAAAAGAAGAAAGGACAAACGGCAGCACCGGGGAAATACGAGCTCTGGGAAATATGAGCTCCCTGCATCAGAAGGAATGAGTAACCACGTGTGAATGAAACAAAGAAGAGAACGCGAAGAGCGTCGTTATAGAATTGCGCACCAATTAAGTGGGTTGCGATATAGTTTCCTGTTAAGGAACAGAAGAATTAATCTGGAAAATTATTTCAAGTGAACTCTTGATCAAATTTATCGACAGAATTGAAAACAAGATTTGTTTTTTTTTTTACAAAACGGAAGCTTAGATAAGTATTTGCAAACTTTGTTTGAAAAAGATTTTGCCTTTCCACCCCTAGTTATTTTGCTCTCTACATTATTTGTTTGTATGTATATTTAACTTGTATCACTTGTTTTGTTTATTCTAATTTTAAATATATCTAAACTTTTGGCCAATTTGATTATCACCCTTTTTATCTGTTTATTTATTTTTATTGCCCAGTCATTTTTGATAAGCAAAATAAAATATATATTTAGGCCATTTTTGTTAAATTTTATTTCTACAACTTGTGCAAACACAACTGGTGAATCTCTATTTTCAATCTGGGTAAGATTGACCTTCCCCACATTTATTTTTTTTTTCAAATTCAACACAATCCTTACCACCATCTGAATAACAATCCCACAACGGTTCGTCCCCAAACTATACTATTGTAATTATAAAAGAGCAAACTGGCCGACTTTAATGAATGATCAGGAAAAAAATACAAAGGGAAACTACAAATATCCTTAGATTAGAATAAAAATTGAAACACTGGAAAACCATCATCCTCTCTTCTGCAAAAAATAATATTCCCAGAGGAAGAAGAAAACAATTTGTACCAG